CGGTCCCCGGTACGGGCGCGACACCGAGGGTTGTGATCCTGTTACCGGTCAGTAAAAAAAAGAGAAAAAGGAAAAAAAAAAAAAAAAAAAGAATGATGACAGATGTGTATTTATTGACATGGAAATACATTTGTAATATGCTGTGAATTTTAAAGGTATGTGTTATAGACTGAATTATGTCCTCAACCCCAACTTCCAAATTCATATGTTGAAGCCCTAACCCCCATATATGACTATATTGGAGATAAGACCTTTAAAGAGGTAGTTAAGGTTAAATGAGGTCATAAGGATGGGGCCCTCATCCAGTAGGACTAGTGTTCTTATAAGAAGAGGAAGAGACACCAAGCATGCTCATGTACAAAGAAAAGGCCATGCGAAGACACAGTAAGAAAGTGGCTGTCTGTAAACCTCAGGAGAAACCAACTCTGATCTTAAAGGCCAGTCTCCAGAATTGTTTGAGAAAATAAATTTCTGTTGTTTAAGTCACCCAGTTTGTGCTATTTTGTTATGGTAGCCCTAGCAGAATAATACAGTTGGTTGAAAGTCTGTAGAAAATTATATTCTAGTTATATATATAAGCATTAACATGATAATGTTAATAGAGTAGTTAACTCTGTGGTGCTTAAAGGTGCTTAATTTTGGGGTTGGGGACTTACCTGTATCTTCTAATTTTTCTTTTTCTTTTTTAACAATAACTGCCTATTACAATTTAAAAAAAATAAATTCTTTTTTTAAAAGTGTTAAGCCTTTTAGAAATCAAAGCTAGGGCAAAATGAAAAAAATAATATTCAAAGAGAAAATTGCAAAATCAAATCAAACCCCACACAATATATTCTGAATTAAAAACATGAAAATAAAATTTCAGACTTTATTATAAGATATTTCTCACACAAAAAAATATCAAAACATAAAAGCAATTTTGAAAACATCTGTAGCAGTCCTCAAGATAATCTGAATTAAAATCCCAACAGGCTTTTTTGTAGAAAGTAACAGGTTGATTCTAAAATAATCATATATGTGGAAATACAAAGGATCTAGAAAGCCAAACAAACCTTAAAAAGAACATCAAGACATTCAGTTATTAAGATTATATGTAATGGCTTAAGGATAGACAAATAGATCAATGAAACAGAATAAAATCCAAAAACAGGCCCACAAACGTACAGTCAATTATTTTTGACAGTGGTGGAAGGGCAATTTAATGAGGAAAGAAAAGTCTTCAATAAATTGTAAAGGAATAACTGCATAAACATATGGAAAAAAAATGACCCCCAAACCCCGACCTTACAAACATACACAAAAATTAATTCAAGTTAAGGCATGAAACTAAATGCAAAAGCTAAAACTATAGAGCTAATAAAAGGAGACATAAGAAAATATCTTA